CTGCACATGGTGACAGAGTGCCCTATAAGTGAAAAAGATGAGTGGAAAGAAGACCCACCCCCCCCGCCCACCCCAAATAACTCGACGCGTGTTTCGGTGCTCTTGTGATGCACCTTCGTCAGGGGCTATATATATTTATATATTAAAGTCTAAACCTGTGTATTGCAGTATCTACTTTTAGAGACATTAGGAAGGGAGTTTTTTGCCATTAGGCAGTTATTTTCTACTTTCACCTGACCCATTTTTCTATTATTGTATTTTCTTATTATATATATCTCTATATGTCACTTTGTATAGAATCATTACTATTCATTATTACAGTGGATACTCAGGTACTAGTTATTTTGAGTATCTTATAGTTTAAGAGTTAAATCACTTTTGTTTCTGTTTACACAGCTCTTGGTTTTGTTTTCAATAAGCAATTACTGCACAGAGTGTTTACTTTAGAAGTTATCTCCTACTCTGTTAAATGAACTTTAAGCACTTGCAGTAGGCTGCTATAGGTTACAGCAGGCTATTAACAGAGCATGGGATAAGAAATCCTAGATTAATAAACACATTGTAAAATATGGAAAGAGTGTGTGCACCTTCCTTGCAAAGCCTTTTCATTGAGCTACATTGGGAAGTCAGTGATTGGACAAATACAGAAAGTCTGGGCGGGGTTAGAAGGGGAATGTCTAATAATAGGAGAGAATTGAGCAGTGAGGCTGCAGGGGCCTGATCTATACCTGAACACCACTTGATTAGGCCAACCGTTTTTAGTGCCTATAGTATTCCTTAAAGTAGTAATATATAAAACCTATTTTACGTATTACATGTGTGATGACCCCCATCTAAATACAAAGAGGGTTATTTCTCCCCCAACCCACTTTTTTTTCCTGTGACCTATATTTTTAAGAATACAGAAAATTACTAGAACTACCAACTGCTATAGATAGCACTGCCTGGTTTGCTTAGTCTAGTACTGACAATGCGATGGAAGCTTTAGGCTGAAAGCAGTCACCTGACATTCTCAGACAATCACAGTGCCCATTTTGGTATGAATCGTTATGGCTAGAAAGTAGTGTATAATCTCTGCCTTAGCCACATCTGCTATAGGAAGCCAGTACAACACTAAACGGAGGGACAGTACCAGAGGATTCCAGGCGCTATAACCAGTTCATTGAGATGAAGTGGTTATAGTGTCTAAAGTGTAATTGTATTAAAATAAAAAACGTTTCAAAACAGGGCTTGACATGTAACCTCTGAATTTTTCAATACAGGAAGTATGACAAAAAATTTTTTATAAGCAAATGCCCTGCTTAAACAAATACTCCAAGCATCAAAATGACTATAGTGTGCTGTAGTGGTTATGGTGCCCTGGCACTCTGCTCTATGTAAGTAGTGAAACGGTTTGACTGCTTGTCTGGAGTCTGCCAGGCACCACATACCTCCTGCATTGAGAACCTTGAACTCTCTGTTCTGACCTAGCCCAGGCAGAGGCATAGCTCATTGGCTTCTGGCTCTAAATGAAGAAAGTGACCATTGCCTGGTGAACCCCAGGTAAGTTGTCACACTGTTGGTATACACCGTAGGGATTATGGTGCTTGGAGTGTTTCTTTAAGGATATGCAGTTTGTTTGTTTTTTTTTTGCGTAATGCCAACTTCTGGGATTACCACTAGATTATTAAAAAAAAAGTCTGTGTGTGGTAATAATAGGGAACGATTACACTAAATATCTGTAATATATTGTGATACTGGTAATAAAACAACAACTTCCTCTTGACATGTGCAGTGTTTTTGTGCAGCACCAAATAAATAATAAATTGTGCACCGTCTCCGTCACATGGCCAACTATCGGCTCGAGTGAAATGTGCTCATATTTAAATGGAATTTATTTATTTTTTGCACTTGGCGCTGTACAAATAAACCTGGAATGTATGTATATAATATGAGGTTGTTTTACTGTTTTGGATCATTAATTTATTGATTTTATTTCACTTGTTTAACCTGGCCGAGCAGCCATATTGTTTCTGATTCTTCTGTTCTCTGACCAACTGCTGCTCAACCCAACTTGTCTGTTGTGGTTGTTCGGTGTGAAACTGCAGCAGTAGGCATGTTCGGTTGAGCAGCAGTTGGTCAGAGAACAGTAGAACCTGACCCAACATGGCTGCTTGCCTATAGAACTATATATGTATGTATGTTTCATTAATAGCAATAATCTTTTAAAAAGTGAAACATTGCACTTCCATTAGAACAGTGGTTCTTAAAGGAAAACTGTCAAAGTTACCGTGGTCTCCTGAGTAGTCGGTGGTTGTCATATCTAGATATCCTATTCTTCTGCATCAGCACCCCCGATTTATGTTGTTGTGGAGTCTTCTTTTTATTTGTGTTAGTAATAATTTTCATGCGCATTTTGTCTTCTTCAGGTCCCAACACTTACGAAGATGCTGCTGCGTACATTCAAGCACAATTTGAGAGCAAGAACCGCTCTCCCAACAAGGAGATTTACTGTCACATGACCTGTGCCACAGATACGAATAATATTCAGGTGGTATTTGACGCAGTCACCGACATCATCATTGCCAACAATCTCCGAGGCTGCGGCTTGTACTGATTCCACTGTATAGCAATTTATCTGCTGGTGAATAAATGCAAGTTGGTAAACTGAGATGGCAAAACTGAAATATATATATTTATATATATTTAAATATATATATACATATATATAACCAGTCTTTTTATTTTGTCTCAAAGAGCTGTCAACAGAATGGATTCCCTGACAGCTCTTCCCTTTCCAAAAAAAAAAAATATCAAAAAGAGGATTCTTAATTTGTAAGGATCTCATAAAAGGCCAGATCGATTAACCCTGTTGGTGCTGGGAGAGCCTGAGCCGTGATGTGATTCATCATTGAAAGTCTTGACCAGGACTATAGAGGGTTAGAAATACATTTTAAAAAATCCTATTTCGTAAAGGGAAGATGATATTCTATTTTGATCTTTAGGATGTGTGTGTTGCCCTCCGGACCACACAAGAACCCATTGAACATATATTCAGGTGCATCTCTTCTGTTCAGCTCTTGGGTAACAAAACATACCAACGGAAAAAAATAAAATAAAAAGTTTTAAAAAAATGGAAAAAAAATAAAAAATAAAAACAACATTTCCAAACCAGGTAGATGTGTTTGAGACTCGCAGGACAGTCCACTCAGCTTTTGTGGGTGCTGTTACTGTACGAGGGTCTGTGAGGGATCAGGGAAGGCCCCTCTAGTCTGTGCAACGCTAAGCAGCGGGTCCCAATTGTCTTGAAAAGGTATCAGTGCCAACCCAAACTGCGGAGTGGGGGGAACAGTCTGCAAATCCAAGGGGGAACCTACCCCACTGTCCCTCCCTTCTCCGCACTGTTCTATGGACCCTCAAATTGACTGCAGGTAGCATGACCTTTGGCCTTTGTAAAAAAAAAAAAAACACAGCCTTCCTTAAAGTTGATGTGTAATGTTATCACTGGATTAGTGAATGCATAGAATGCTGTAAATCTGGTTTAGCTAAGTCTGTACATTTAGAAGAAACTTAACAGTTTTTTTCTTTTTTTCCCCATGTGCTTGTAGCTTAACACCACCTATATTATCATTTTTAATTTTTTTTTTTTTTTTCTTGCACCAATTGCAAAGTGACATCATTCTAATTCTCTGTAACCTCTTCATTGCCGTGGAAGTCAGCATTGCCCACACAAAGAATGGGTTTCACAGAAATATCCATAACTAATTATTTTTTGGGGAGGGGTGGGTGGGGGGGACTTGGTTTATTTCTGTTGGACTTGTAACCCTGCGTAGGGAAGAAAATAATATATATATATATTGTAAACCCAAAACGTAAGAACTTTCCAGGGTAATTGAAATGTACAGATCTGATGTCTGATTAGGTTTCCATGCTCTGAACTGTGTATCATGCACTCTATGGGTTTGTATAGAAAAAGCACAGCTCTCACTTGCCTCCAAGCTGCCGAAATATTTCTCCCCTAGACATTTTTGCTCTGAATTCTTGTATTACAAACTGATAGGCTTATTTACTTTTCAATCTCCTTTACCTTCCCAAGTGAATGCTTTGTGCTGCTTCCCCCCTTCCCCCCCCCCCTTCCTTTTAGTGAATGGTGTTTTTTCCTCTCATGTGGGATGTTTGTGCTGCGAAAAAAAAGGAAAAAAAACAAAAACAAAAAAAACTAAAAAAAAATTACAAATTTAATCGAATGTAGTGTTTACATTAAATCCACAGTTTTCATGACCAAACCTTTTGTCATTTCTACTTTGATTAGAACTTCTTCACCATTTCACTTGCAAACTGAAGAAGAGCGGTCACAAATGTTAAAGAAAAAAAAAAAAAATTATGAATCAATAAATGATCGAGAAATAATGCTGGAGCGTGTTCCTTGTATTCCCGAGCGCTAAATTTGGTGCTGCCAGCTACTCTCGTTACTAATGGAAACTCGTGTGTAGCTTAATAAAGAGAATGTTTGTCTGTACAGATATGTCTCCTACACTCTACTCTTTTATCACAAAGACAATACAATGCTGAAAGGGATTCTGGGAAAAGTCGTGTAGATGTTATTAGATGGGAATTGGTGTCACAGCCTCAACTAAACTGTGAAAAAAGAGGCACTTTACAGGTCAGATTAAATAAAGTGTGAATTGTTGGGAAGATATTTCCATTTTGGTAATTTGTGTAAAATGTTTAATTCACTTTGAATTCCCACCAATACTTTCTTTATTGAATAAACCTGTTAGTCAAAGAAGGCGAATTCTAGGCCATACCAGCCTGACTTGGAAGATTTTTTTTCAGTTTCGCTGTTTGGCCTAAAAGTCTCAATTCAATTTGAATTCTAAACAGTTCAAACTTTAGTTAGTTAATATCTCTGCTTAGCAGTTAATGTGGAAATACGTGCTAAATACATGTGGGGAGATAATCTCTTTTACAGTCAAATTGTGTCTGCTTCCATCAAAAAATAATGTATGCACCCTTCTTCTCAACTCCCAATACCATCGATGGCTAGCTTTGTCCCAACCGATATATGGGAATTACAATTACCATGATACTCAGTCAGCCCCTGGGAAATGTAATTCACAATACGTCTCTACACTCTAAAACTATTATTACTCTGGATAGTCTGTATTTGCCAGGGCTCCACAAAAATCCCCCAGTCCATGCCAACTACTAATGACCAGCATCATCTTTGGCAATATTATTTTGACAAAAAAATGTCCCAATCGTGTTGAAACTCTATAGGGCTTGACGGTAAATGAGATATTACATAGTATCAGACTGTGTTGATGGCTCATCGGTCAGTAAGGAATTCATAAAAGAGGTTTGTTTTCCTTTTAATTAATGGGGGGGAAAAAACCTGTTTGTTGGTTGCAATAGTAAAAATAACCTTAAAAGGACACTATAGGCACCTAGACCACTTTATCTGAGGTGGTCTATGTGCAGTGACCCTTAATCCTTCATCTGAAAACCTTGAAACTGCAGATTTAAGATTGCCTCCAGTAGCTGTGTAGAGGCACTTTCTGCTGTTTCACAGAGTTTAACTCTGTAAAATGATGCTGGACTTCTTCACGGTGTGCACTAGGATGTCCAGCGTCTTGAAATTATCATGCGTTGCTCTCCGCGCATTCGGTTACCCCTCACGATGATGTCGGAGGAGGCAGAGACTGAGACAGTGCCAATAGACTTCAACGCTGGAATAGGGTAAGTGTTTAAAATATATTTAACCCTTTCAGTGCCACACGGGGTTGGTGCACATTATAGTGTTAGGAATATAGCTTTGTATTCCTAACACTATAGTGTTCCTTTAAATAGGGTACCTAGAGTGTCCCTTTAATGTCATACTTTTATCTGATCTGTGCCATACCAGGAGGAACCTATATAGTAGCTCTATCTGACTATATCCACCCCGGTAACCTGGTATCACAGTCCTTGACAGTGGCATTCAGTGGATAATTGAAATTTTACTTACAGTTTACACTGGAGGCTGAAGCTTGGAATATTATTTTGCAAGGATATGTTGGCACAACACCCAGGAGTGGCTACCTTCAGTGCTTAGCCAAGAAACTATCTACAACACTGGAACTCCTCCTGGCGCTGCGTCACCTCTGATTCGGAGGCCGATGCCATGTAGCTTACCACCCGGTGAGCTATCAGGCAATGGTTCCCCCAAGCAACAACCCATGTGCTTCACCAAGATGACAGAAGACATCTGGAAAGAACTGATATTTGGGGTGAATTCCTGGAATTTTAAGGTATCAAGGGGAGTAGTTAGCTTAAAAATAAATAAATAAAAATTTGATTTATTTTGGTACTTCCTATGCTGATACTCGTCCTGCAAAGGAAGCACCTCCAACAGGTACTGCCACAATATGACAGGAAAATATATATTATATAATTTTTTTTTTCTGTTGGTATATTCTTCTTAGATTGCTGTAGGGTTATTCACTAAACCCCCAATTGCAAAACGGAGGCAAAAATTGTCAAGCTGTGTCTGTAGATTTTGAAATTTGGTTTCCCCAAAGTCAGCTATTTTTACTTCTGTTTTCCCATTTGAAATAAATTTGTGCAAATTCAGAGTTTACTGAATAACCCTGGTAGAGTTCTTGTCTGGTCAATATGAGTGAAATCAGCCACGATGCCTCTGGTACTGTGCAGAGGCATCTCCGCTCAGGATGGCACTGTGACGAACTCAAACATGCCATTACACAAGGAACCAAGCAAATTTGAGACCTCCTGACTGGGAACTAACCATACGGCAACCTACTCTACTTTTGTGCATTCCCTTTCAGGGTTATTCCAAAAAGTATGATTTGTTGTAATTTTTCTCCAAGTCATGGGTTTTCATTTCACCAATGTTAGCCTAACATTCGACATTCACTTTGAATTCCTGACAATTCATATTTTAATGAATGCGACACATCTGGGTAATTTACTTCATTCTGAATAGTAAATAATTGATATCCGAATGGCAAAATAGCAGATTTGGAGAAATTGTTCAACTCTGCTATAGTCCCAATTTGGCTGTGTTCATCCAAATTGTGCCATTAAGAATAAAAAAGCACTGCATTCCAGAGTTTATTGAACTCTGTTAGTGTGTCTGACGTGGCGTCAATTATACACGAAAAGGAGACTTAAAGGAAATGACAAAATATCCAAGATGGGAACTCCGCTACTTAACATACCCTACAATTTGCCGTTATCTTGTCAATTCTCCACAATTCACAATTTTGTGAATAAACTTTGCAGTGCTGGTCTGTACTTGAACAAAACCAATCAGTAATAAAGGACAATGTAGTGAGCACTAATGCACTTTTTACATTTATTTTATTTGATAAAGTGGAAGTTCATACTTCTACATTATTACAACTCATACCTGGTTTAAACAATATTTATTGGCTCAGTCCACAGATGACATTTTTGCCCTGGTGGTATGAGTTGGTATGTTAATGTGACAGTATGACACCTACTGAAATGACCGCGGCTACAGGACAAGGGGAAGTGTCAAAACATTTGTTAACCATTTGAGTGATTAACAGATGATTGTTACTCAAAACAGGTGTCCAGTGCTTGATAGACTGAGTGTGAGCTGACACTTCCAGCCTATCAGTGGCTTCCAAGGCAAATCTTTCTGCAGCAGCCAGAGGAAGCAACGCCATTAGGTTTTCTGAAACAGTAAATGGTAGCAAAAAAATAAAATAAAATAAAAAGATTCCAGAACACTTTAAGCAACAAAAGATGACCTTCATAAAATGTCAGTGTTCTCTCCAATTCCTGACTTCTCTCATGCTTAAAAGGTGTATTATCAGATTTTAATAGGAAAATGTTTAAGATCTCCCAGGGTTCCATACTCACATCCCATGAATACGTCAAAGTAAATTTTACATTTAAAGCTCTAATAACTACATGTGGCAATTTCTCCTTCTCATTTATATGGACAGATCAGCTGTTTGACCTAGAATTTAAGTCACTTTAAATTAATTACAAATATCATTTATATAGCACCAACATATCCCCATGTTATAATTGTAAAGCACGTCATGTAAATTATTTGAGACAAGAGATGAAGAAGGCCCTGATCTACGATCCACTGTGATGGTGGTTGTGGTAAGGGGAAAGGGAGAAGCTGGAGGTTTTTTGGTTTTGTTTATTTGTTGCATTCAATGTTGATGGAATAGGACTAAATTAAAAGCGAACGGTCACATCTCTGGTATTTATACCATTGAATAAAACATTTGAAGATCACCTATAACGTGTTCTTAATCTTTCATGACATGCTCTGTTTTTTATATACTTATATAAAGACTTTGCAAATGACTTCATAATCTAGTTCAGACAAGGCAAAGCCAGAGGCAAAATGAAGTCGAGAAAAATAAACATTGTTTAATGTCTCCTTTTCTCTGTAGGAAAATAATAAAGCTTATAAGAATGACTGGCAGGGAGCTAAGATGGAGCCACCCGGTTGCAGGATAGAGAGCTGTGGATTTTTACATTTAAATTTTATATTTCACTCCTCACAAAATACTTATTTGCTAAATAAGGTAAATATAAAAAAAAAAAAAAAAAGTGACAGTTTCCCTTTAACAACTAATTCAACGAAACAAAGTATGCTTAATATGCAAATACAATGTTTCAAAGAGGAGATGGAACTGTAATGAGAACCTGATTATATCTGAGCTCCTTACTAACCTGCAGCAGGCTTGTTTCTCACTGCAAATTCAGTGCACTTGTCCTTCCTCTTGCTGAGGTCATAATACCTGAAATATTAACACCGATCAGTGCAATAATTATAGAAAACGTTACCCAAGAACAACAACGCAAGTTCACTACAGGTTTAAAAAAAAAAAAGTGACAACTAAATATTGCGCTTAGGTTGTAATTAAAGAGAGTGAACTGTCATATGTTAATGTATTTTCATGTACTATAGTGAAACCTTGACGTCTCTGGGAATAGCACCACTGAATAAAACATTGAAAAGCACCTGTACACATGGAGTGCTCTGCTTTTATTTAAGGGTACAGTAACGATTTATTAATTTACATCACAATCTGGTTTAGTCCAGGGTGCACGTTGCATCGGAGGAAGAGACTTATTGCACAAGGCAGAGATTAGAACAGTGATTGCCATGGAGGTAAACTACCATGCAATATGGGTTTATATACTTAATTTTAACCTCACAAGCACATATCTCAACATTTAGAGTAAAGGAAGGGATTGGGCTCTTTAAAAATCAGAGAACTTTAGATATGGGTCTATATGAGAGGGTTATAGACACCGTACCTCTGCAGATTGAAACCACAATAACGCTCCACATTGCTGATGGTAATATGCAAATATATTTTCCACGATTTCTCCAGTTTCTGTGACTTCTTTCAACTCCTAATGAGACTAACATGACATCAGTATGGCTTTGCTTCCAATGTTTGTTCAAGATATATGCCTGATCAGAGAAGATAAGAAACATGTTAAATGTTAATTAAATGCCCAGTTTACACATTTTCAGAAGACAGTTGCAACATCAGGGATTTATTTTTTTTTATCTTTAAACAAAAATTGTCTAACCTTACAAATGGCTAGAGTCCACCATATATAGTATAAATTCTTTCACGCGTGGAGGAGGTAGAAAACGTCCATAATGCAATGCTTCAGCACACTCCCTGAATAAATAGCTCTAGGTATAGCCAAACTGAGGAAGACCGAAAGCAACAACAGAACGAGTAGAGTAGTTAAAACAAAAGTTTAAAAAAAAAAAAATTGCCACCCATGGACTCTTGCGATCCAGAAGGAAAATGTATTAAGAAAGACGTACAGTTTTTTTTTTCCCCTTGGATATTTCAACAAGCTGTGACGTGTGTGGACCTTATACCCAAGCAAAGCTGAACAAGAGACCATCTCACAACATAGGGTACAGATTTTGTCATTTGCAAGTGGACAAAGGAGGAAATTAAAAGCTCCTGGTTAATATTAGTTGAGAAGACCACTTTGGCAAAGAGAAATAATCCATCCTCAGAACTGCAAAATTCTTATGTAAAACAAACAGTGAGGACTCGCAAGAATGAGATACAAAAGTTAAGAAATAGAGGAATTTACCAGAGCCATAGTTGTCATGAACTGGCCCTCCTTTATTGATATCAGAGCAGGATACCAACTGCAAATTCAATAAATGCATATGCTCACAATTAGCATATGGCAGCACCTTGAGATCCAGTTTCAGAGTCCAAGGAAGAGTTGCAGGCTACACTAGAGGGTTGGTCCATGCCAGAACCTGCAAAATGTTCTGGATGTACAGCTGCAAAACTAGCTTACAGTTTCAATATTGTTAAAGACAGATTCTAAAGGTCTGGATGGTGAAAGGATTATGGGGCAGAAGGTCCTGCTTTAGAGGAAGTATCCAAGGTTTAGCCACTAACATCTCAGCAATTTCCTGCAAAAATTCTGGCCACGACTCAAGGTAGCGAAGGGTTGGGGGGGGGAGGAGAAATGTAATCAAGCTGAAGTCCAAGGCACTGTCAGTACATCACCAGTTGAACATTCAGATGAGAGGCCTTTAGAAGATCTCAGGATGGAGACTCCAGCTGTTTGGGTGAGAGGCCTGGAAATCTTCTACACAAGGAATGTAATTCACAGAGTTCTGCCCACCATATGATCTTGGAGACTTTCCTGGTGGCAGTAGTAGCACTCCCTGCCTCTTTTTGGTTAAGTTTCTGAATGAAAATTCTGGCCATGCCAGGAGAGCCAGGTAAATCTCTCTGGTAGTGCGAGTTTTTAAAGACTAAGTACTTGTGATGATCGAAATATGAGAGCATACATGCTTCAAATCCATAGTTGTGGAAAGTAAGAGCACTGAGGCAGTTGAAGCACGTGAGGTAAAGAATGGGCCCGTACATACCCTTCTTCTTTGGGATATTGAACAGTTTCAGTAGAACCAGAACAGAAGAAATGATTGTAAATGACCAGTGAGCTAGGCACATCACTAGCACACTCAGCAGGCTTCTAAGCAAGCATTTTTATACAGGAGGTATAAAGCTAACCAGGCCAGCAATCTCATCTTCAATACAGGCCTGGAAAGTCAGCAGAATTAACCAGGAATGACCACAAACCACCCAGAGGAATCAGACAAATTCCCAAGGGGAGCTGCTTTAAAAGGAACTAACTAAGAGACATAGTGTCCCAGAATGGAATGCAAGCAGTCACTACACCCTGCACATAATATAAAGCAGTTAATAAACCTCACTCACAGGGGAACAATAGGGGCTAAAGGGACTGGAGCTCGAGAATTTAATCTGATACTCCACAAGTATTGATCCCTCCCCACATTCCATTAGATCCACAAGTGAGCCCTGGTCAGTACTCATCTGGAGAAACTTCTTTCTGGCTGGCTGTGAAACCTAAAAGAAGGCGTTAAGACACATAACAGCAGGAGCAGCAGTGAGTCTCATAAGCTTTACCACCTCAGACAACTGTTAAGAGGCCACCTGAGTTTGAGGGAGCTTTGCCAATTGCTTTTCCTTCACACAAGGTGCATCTCAAATACCAGGAAAACCCCTCAAATAAGCAGTGAATTGCTCTGTACTCCCCAATGCATAGCTCAGATCAACCAAACTGATTGGCAGCCATTACACAGACGAAACTGTGACAGGAACTGTGCACCTCTTAAAGTGACTGCATCCCAATAACACTGCTCAAATTACAGACTGGGCAAGTAGAGGAATACCAAGTTAAAGCACGGTGTCCTGCAGAGCACAGGCAAACTTACTAAGGGAACATTTAAACCCTATTCTCTCATTGGTCAACCCCTGAGCCATTTAGGACTAATCAGCAGGACCAGGTGTCCCTCGACAGAAAATTTGTAAAAAAAAAATAAATAAAAAATAAAAAAAAATCAATAAAAAAAAAAAATCAGTCAGAGCTTCAACAAAGCCAACCTTCCTCCTGGAAGGATTGAAGATACTACAAGAGGCTCTGGCAAGGGAGAAGCATGCTGAAGCATTGCATGCATCTACCCGGGATGTAATTTATCCCATATGTGACATCTTCAGGGCTCTCAACATCTAAGGAAGGAATAAACAATAATGACTACTTTTATTTGATTTCTTAAGTGAGCACTCTAAGCAACAAATACTACAGTCAAGGCCGGTAACACCACTAGGCAGTTGCTTAGGGCACACCAGCTCGGGGACGCAATGATCGGCAAGAGAGGATTGCACAGCGCTCCACTTGCTGCTGGTCACTGGATATAGTGTGGCCAAGCAGTTGGTGGTAGAGGATCTTTTGTATCCCCTACCCGGTCTGACAGGTAACGTATCGCTGAGAACACCGAACAGCCAGGTAGAGGAAACAGAAGATCCTCTACTGCAGTAAGCTCGGCCACTTTACATGAGGTTTAACAGGTGGGGGAGGAGACCACAAAAGGACAGAGGGTTGGAACAGACAAAAAGACACAATGGGAAGGGGACACACATGCACAGAGGGGCTGGAGAAAGAGAGAGAGGGGCACATACACACAAAGGGGCTGGTGAAGGGAACAGTGACATATACAGAAGGGTTGGGGAGGGGGAAAAAAGACACACAGAAGTTCTGGGGAAGCAGATAAAGAGACACAAAGGAGTTGGGGGGTGCAAGTAGTATACCACCAGCCCTGACTACAGTTCAGTGTAGTGTATATGTTGCTTATAATGTGTCCTGGTGCAGTTCCCAATGTTTAACAACAAACAATCTACAATGGGCTTTTCGTGCTGCCTGGAGACCACTCCCCTCTAATCACTCTTTATCAATCAATGTGGGTTGAAACTCACATTGATTGGCTTTGAGTTCTGAGGGTAGATAATGTGACAAGCTCACATTGAGAATGTGGAAGTGTTAATTCTACTTATCAATGTGGCAGAAGGGAGGAGCAGTCTCTGGCCACTGAGAAGAGCTCAGCTTTATCGCAAACTATTCCTGAATGGAACGACGCTTTATGAGACATAAATCCAACAGCTTGCTGCAGTGGTTATTTTGCTTTCTGTGCCCCTCTAAATAAATACTCTAAAAATCAAGATGCATAGCCATATGGCACATTTTTACATGGAAAGTTTATTGCTAGAGCAAACAAGGCGAAACAAAGTAACAAGCAAAAAAACAACAACTTATTTTAGAACTTAAGGAGACTTCATAGAAGACTTGGGGTCAGTCCTTTAATTGCATTTTTTTCCATTTCCGTTCTCACCATGTCCAGAGTAAACACTAAAAACACACCTCACACAATGTCCACGGCAGTGCAAAATAAAATAGCTAAATATAAAAAAAAAAAAAAACATATACATCACAGATCAAGAAAAACTATTGTAAAGGAGGGCATTCTCATGTCAACAGTAATCCTTTTACAGACACCGCAGTGAAATCACAATAAGCTTGAGGAACATCGGTTTCCAAAGAAAGGTTTCTGGCTAGGGGTGCAAATAGTAGTATGAGCAGCAACAATCTGGGATATCAGGTGGGAGAACTTGTCCTATGCTACAGCTACCCATGATAAAGAAGTATGGAAGGAAGCTACACACACAATAAATGCCCCTAGGTCCCCAATTTCACCTTTTTTAGGTACCGTATATACTCGAGTACAAGACAAGTTTTTCGGCACATTTTTTGTGCCGGTCTGTCTTTGTTCATTTTGTTTACTACAAGGAGGGAGCTATTGGCTCGCACATTACATCCTTTATATACATACACACACACACACTACATTATTTATACACACTTTGGTTCCCCTACACACACACACACACACACTACATTCCCAAAACACACTACGTCCACGCTCCCCCTTCGGTGGACCTCACAATCCCCTCACTCCCAGAGATGCGCCCACACTGGAGATTAAATGACCTTCTCCTAAATAACCCTACCTACATAGCAAACATACAGGAACACTACTTCTCAGAGAATGAACAGCAGGACACTGCCCCAGCCGTAGTCTGGGAAGCACACAAATGTGTAATGAGAGGGAC